AGTCAAGAGAGTGAAGCTCGTAGTCACGGTGAGCGGCAACGTGCAGCAGCACCCGAAGAGTGGTCATCTTCGGGGTGGGGGAGAAGGTCTGGAAGAAGTCAACTCCCTCACGCTGACTGAAGCCTCGAGCAACGTAACGAGCCTTGAAGACAGGCGGAGAACCCGGCGGCCGCTTCACCCTGAAAATCCACATGCCATCGACGATGTTCGCCCCAGGAGGGGGAACCTCATCGACGTAAGTGCCTGTGGACTTCCAGGATGCCATCTCTGCGTCCATGGCTGTCTGCCACTGAGAGGAGTACTCACCCGCGATCGCCTCAGCGTAAGAGCGCGGGGTCAGGATGTCTGGTGCATCCGAGTCTCCCTCAGGGGCAAGCAGCATGGCCACGAGATGAGGCACAGCGGCTGCAAGACACTCAAGGTCCTCGTGCCTGTCCTCAAGGACGTCCGTGCCAAGAGCACACTCACCCTCGACGGACGGAGGAGAGACAGACTCAGACTCAGCAACAAGACTAGCGGCGTAGTCTAGACGACAGGCAGCAGCAAAGTCAACAAGCTTAGCGACCAAGGCAGACGCAGCAGCAGACTCAAACGACGGGTCAGTGACAACAGTGGCTAACAGACGCGTGACAGTAGGGTGTGCAGCACGAAAGCGGTCAGACTCAGGGTCCGCAACGTCAGGCAGAGAGGACGCAGGGGGAGACGGCAGAGGAACAGGCTGCGGAGCAGAGGAAAGACGACGGACTACGAGGTGTGTACCGGGGACAGCCGGCTGACGCGAACGAGGAACACGACGACCGGAACGACCAGGACGAACAGGCGAGACAGGACGCGACGCAGGCTCACGACGCTCAGCAAGACCACCGGGCTGCTCAGTGTAAGGAGGAGGAGCAGGGAGCGGTGAGCCAGGCAGTAACGGAAGACCAGTAGACGACGGAAGGGTAAGAACCTGACGAAGAACAGAGTCAGGCGGCGGCAGAGATGACGGAGACGGCGGAGCGAAGAACAGTCGAGTCGCCGCAGCTGCACCAGCACCGGCAGCTCCAGCAGCTCCAGTGGCTCCAGCACCTCCAGTAGCTCCAGCACCTCCAGCAGCTCCAGAACCTCCAGCGCCAGCACCACCAGCAGCAGCACCCCCAGAACCAGCACCTCCAGTCCTAGGGTCTCCAGCCTCAGTGTCTCCAGCAGCAGCACCCCCAGACGCAGCACCTCCAGCCCCAGCAGCTCCAGTACCTCCAGGACGAGCACCTCCGGGACCAGCGACTCCAGCACCTCCTGTAGACACAGCACCACTCCCAGCTCCAGCGACGACAGCAGAAACACCTCCAGCGGTAGAGCCCCGAGCTCCAGCAGCGCGACCCTGACGGCGAGTGTACCACTCGTGCAGCTGCTGCGGGGAGAGAGGCGCACGCGGACGAAGGCGGCTACTCCAAGGAGACCGCGCACCAGCAGTCTCAGTACCCGCAGGCGCCGCACCCCCAGACTCAGCACTCTCAGGCTCAGCACCCCCGGACGCAGCACTCCCACGCACAGCACCTCCAGTCTCCTCACGCACAGGCTCAGCACCTCCAGGCTCAGCACCTCCAGCAGGCAAAGAACCAGCACCACTCCCAGCTCCAGTGACGTCAGCAGAAGTATCTCCAGCAGTAGAGCTCCGAGCTCCAGCAGCGCGACCCTGACGGCGACCGTACCACTCGTGCAGCTGCTGTGAGGTGAGAGGCGTACGCGGACGAAGGCGGCCACTCCAAGGAGACCGCGCACCAGCAGTCGCAGTACCCTCAGGCGCCCCCAGACTCAGCACCCCCAGGCTCCTCACGCTCAGGCTCAGTACCTCCAGGCTCAGCACCCTCAGGCCCCTCACACGCAGGCTCAGCACCCTCAGACTCGGCACCCCCAGGCTCAGCACCCCCAGGCTCCTCTCGCTCAGGCTCCGTACTCCCAGGCTCAGCACCTCCGGATACAGCACCCCGAGCAGGACCACCCCCAGCAGGACCTGAGTCACCAGTGACCTCAACAGGCGCAGGCACAGGAGGATCTACCGTAGAAACACCTGAAGGAGCAGGACCTGGCGCGGGGAGGGGGTCTACCTGGGAAGGACCTGGAGCGAGAAAGAGCGGCGGGGGGGGGCGAGGGGCAGTGCGGTAGGGAAAGAGACGGTAAAAGGGGACGGACTCGTCAAAGGTGACGTCCTGAGACGCAAAGACACGGTGCGAGGTGGGGTCGTAAAACTGCCAGCCAGGCGCGTCAGGAGGAAAACCAAGGAAGACGCAGGGAATGGCGCGGGCAGAGAGCTTGTCCGCGGTGAGATCGCGGACAAAGGCACGAGCACCCCAGACCCGGAAACGCGACGCATTGCCAACCTCCCCCGTCCACAGCAGTGTGGGCGAGGTCTCCGGCAAGGAGACACGGGGCCAGAGGTTGAGCTGATGCGCGGCGTACCGGACCGCAAACGGCCATAGAAAATGGGGAGCCGCCGCATGGATCATGGAGGTACGAGCGACCTCCATGACTAAGCCAATGCGGCGCTCAGCAACCCCATTCTGCTGCGGAGAGGCCGGAAGCGTGAACATCTGGCGGATGCCGTGCTCCGCACAGTAGGCTGCCAAGAGGTCGGAGGAGAACTCACCATCTCTGTCAGAGTGCAGACGCAGGACAGGAAAGTCCGACCAGAACCGCTCCAGGATCTGGAGACGAACAGCGCGGATCCAGGGGATCAAAACAGCAGGGACATCCGCCTTGCTGCGCAAGGGGAAGACCGTGGTGTAACGCGTGTAGTCGTCGACAACCAGCAGGAAGTACTGCTCGCGGCCCTGCCCCTGGACGCGGGCTGGGCCCCACACGTCCAGGTGGAGCGTCTGCAGTGGAGCCTCTGTGGGAGGAAACGAGGAGGAGTGAGGAGCGGCGCGCTGCCGCCCCTCGACGCAAGGAATGCAGGGCGGTGCAGGCGAGCTAGGAAGGGAGGGCAGAGACCTGGGAAGACCAGAGACCAGGTAGCGAGAGTGCATGCTGCGAAGGCGGAACAGGGAGGGGTGACCAAGGCGGTGGTGCCAAAGGAGAGTCTGGTGCGACAGGCTGCGACACTCATAGGGGGAGGCTACCAGACCAGACGCAGACACCTGACCGACAGCAGCGAACGGAGGAGACACAATCGTCAGTGTGTAAAGAATCGACCCCGGCTCACGAGTGAACATGGCCAGGTGACGTCCAGTCTCCGTGCACACGTGCAGATCGCCACACGCTGCCAAGCAGGGGTGAAGGTATGAACCTCCACATCCTGAAGGACGGCGTTGCTCACCAGGTTCGTAGAGAACGAGGGGATGTGGAGACCTGACAGCTCACCGGACGGGACCGCCGGACACGGGAGCACAGTGGAGGAGCGAGCAAGCACTGGGCCCCCAGAGGGGTCAGCCAGTGAGACAGGGACAGGTGCAGAGAGGGGAGTGACTGTGGTACTGTCGCGAAAGAAGCAGCGGGAAGCACCTGAGTCAAGCGTGAAAGTGTGCAAGGCCTCAGCAGGCGTAGTACCAGAGAGAGCAGACTCACTAGCATCTAGGGCAGCAGCCGCTATACCAGGGTCAGGGGGCACACACAGGTAACAGTCACCCTCAGTAGTACCAGTCAGAGCATACATGGCAGTAAGGATAGCAGCAAAGTCTAGAGCATAGATATCCACCTTGCTGTGCAGCTACTCTAGCCAGGGGGGGAGCTCTGTTAGAAGGAAATGCTGCCATGAGCAAGAAATTGCCGGCGCTGGGATTCGAACTCGTGAGCTTCGAATCTGTCCTGAAAGTGTCTCAGGACAGATTCAGGACAGTTTCTGCTAAGGGGCTGGTTATGCTGCACTTGAGTTTCGAACTGGAGACCTTTCGATTCAAGTGTCCCGAAAGTGTCTTGGCAGGACAGATTGGGGATACTTTGGGGACAGATTAGGGACACTTTGGCGAAATCGATCTTGGGACGCGTTCGGTTTGAAACTCGGCAGCGAAGTGTCGAAGTCAACGGAATTCGCACGGGAGTTACAGTCGGTGGTCGACGGAATTCTGGTCGCGGAAATTCTCGTCTACGGAATTCCAGTCAATGGAATTCGCTCGGCGAAATTCAAGGCTCGGAATTTCGCGTCGACGAAATTCAGCGCGCGACCCGGGTCGACACTTTCTTGTGTGCTTTGTTTTTGTATTGCGTCCTAGTATAAAACCAGAGAGCACAAACCAGAAATCAACTAAGTCATTATCACTGCTATGTTTGTGTGTATCTCTGGCTATAGTGGACCGTTTCCTGCAATCATTGGTGCGTTGGAATCGTGCTTCTGAGCTCTATCAAGCTATTCTACATGGTATCAGAGCTGCGTTATCTTCGTCGTTCCAACTAGCGGCTTGATTCTGTCCTCCCGTCACTTCGTTCCTACGTTGGTGTGGCTGACGCTCCCTGTGACCACGGATGGAATGGATAACGAGCGCCGAGGGCTTGAATGCCCGTGAGGAGCTGGAGGCGTCCGTTCGTGAGCACCACCCTAACTTGCGTGATGAGGAGGTCGACCTCATTGTGGACGGTCGACTACTACGCATGGTTCGGGAGCGCGCGGCAGAGCAAGCACCTGCGAGCGGCCAGCAAGAAGGAACTGGTGAAGGAGAAGCTGGGCACGAGGCTCCAATTGCCGTAGGCGTTGGAGGAGGAGCTGTTGCTCCGACCATTGACACGGGAATGATCGGGACGAGCTAAGGTCAATTCAAGTTTGGAGTGGAGCATATCTCCGTAACACCGCTGCTGGAGGGAAGGCACGACCTCACCGCGTGGGTCAGCGCCATCCGACCTCAGCTCCAATGCGCTGATTTGTGGCAGTTTTGCAACGGGACAGCACCAAGCCCGGCCCCGAACAACCCCTTGCAACGAAGGGAGTACGCAAAGGGCCAAATGCTTGCATTCATGGTGTGAATCGTTGTGTTTCTCCACCCATCCGAATGTCTATTGCTGGTTTCTCTCAGCAAGAGAAAGCCGGGCAGATGGCATGGGCATACATCTTGTTTACCTATCAAGCTCGTGAAGCCCTCCACGCTTTTCTACTTCAGACCCAGCTAGCCCAACTCAGGAAGGGAGATGATGAGACGGCAGAATCCTACTGCAACAGGGCCCGCACCATCCAAGCGGAGCTGCTGACCATTGGACAGGAGGTCCACATGGCCACGTTTGCCGCTCACGTGCTGAAGGGTCTTCCACCGGAGTACAGGCTTCTTCGCCGCAAGCTCGACATTTCCAGCCCTGACATGACGGTGGAACGTGTGTGCAGCGAGGTGTTGATGGAGGAGCAGACTCTCTCCATCGAACACAGTTACAAGCAGATCACCAACGATGCATCTGCTTTCTCGGGCGCTGTCAACACGATCGTGGCTACAACGAGGGTCAACGGGAAGGAAGGAAAAGGAGGGAAGGAGCAGACGGACAAGAATAAGGATGGAAAGCAGGAGAAGAAGCGAGGCCCCTTCAAGGGGCGCTGCTACAACTGCAATGAGGAGGGGCACATGGCTGCCAAGTGCCCCAACAAGAAGAAGGATGTAACGCCCGCGGCAGCCGCAAACGTTGCTGAAGGAGACGGGAAGGGCGTGGCGCTCACCGTCGCGTGTTCGGCTGCAAAGCTGCTGGCCGACGACAAGGACTTGTGGTTCCTTGACTCGGGATGCTCCCAACACATGACCGGCCGCAAGGAGTGGTTCACGGTGATCCGTGACCCATCTGCAACGAAATCCGTCAAAGGGTTTGATGGTTCAATGCAGGAAGTTGCCGGTGTTGGTGAGGTTTTGCTGGAGGGCACTAACGGCTTGCGTGTGACCCTACATGATGTCCTCTTTGTGCCAGGAATGAAGGCCAACTTGGTCTCCCCTGGGCAGCTCTTGGACAAGGGAGCAAAGCTGCAAACCGAGGAAGGTGTCACTCGCATCATCGCATCAGGAGGTCAAGTGGCTGCAACGGCACGATACCGCCATCGCCTTCACTGCCTTGACCTGAAACCGGGGCCAGCAAGGAACGGTGCAACGGCTGCAACGGCATGCAACGGCACTGTGGCTGCAGCGGCATGCAACGATATGGCGGCTGGATCGGCAAGCAACGGCACGGCGGCTGCAACGGCAAGCAATGGCACGGCGAAGGAGATTGCTGATGTGGCGTCAAGCAAGCCGGAAGCTAAGGATGAAGCGGCCAGCCTCAAGACGTACGCGGTAGGCTCCATGGCAACGCCCAACCTGTGGCACGCTCGCGTTGGACACGTCCACTTCGACGCGGTGAAGCGGACAGCCACGAGCGGTGGCGTGTTCGGTATGGACCTGGAGAAAGGAGGTGAGGATATGCCGTGCACCTCCTGCCATGAAGCCAAACTCACTCGTGAATCATTTCCGCTGCACGACGAGCGAGAGGAGCAGGTTCTTGGGCTGGTCCATACTGACGTGTGCGGTCCATTCCAGACCCCAGCCATGGATGGAAGCAGGTACTACATTCTTTTCGTGGATCATGCCTCGCGGTACACCTGGGGGACAACGTTGAAGCTGAAAAGCGATGCGCTTGCTGCCTTCAAGGAATGGCTCCCCGAAGCTGAACGCCAGACCAGGATGACGCTGAAGGTGTTGCGTTCGGACCGGGGAGGAGAGTTTATGTCGAACGAGTTCCTGGTACTGCTGAAGCAACGAGGGATCTTGCGTCAACTTTCTTGCCCATCGACCCCCTAGCAGAACGGTGTGGCTGAACGCCGCAACCGTACGGTAACCGAGGGCATGCGTGTGATGTTGGGGCACATGGGGGTGAAAGCACACTGGTGGCACTTTGCTTTCCAGCAGTTCTTGTGGGTGGTAAACCGTGTGCACCAGTCCACCCTGCCCCATGGTGTGACCCCTCATTTGGTGGTGTTCAAAGTCAAGCCCGATGTGTCCATGATCCGTGTGTTCGGGTGCATGGTGCAGTACCTCATTCCTGAGCATGAGCGTGAGGGGAAGCTTGCAAGCAAGACTCGTTGGGGCATGCATTTGGGCATGAGCATGGAAAGCAAGGGATGGCGTGTGGTGGATGTTGAGTCAAAACGCATGGTCATCACCCGGGATGCACGTTTTTATAAGGATTTGTCACTTGAACGGTGGCAGCAGTGGCGTGCACGTGCGGGTGACGGGACTGACCAGCCCACACCACCCTTTGCTTCAGTCCCCTCTCTCTTTCCTGAGCCCCACGACCCCGAGCAGAATCTGCCGCCACCACGTACTGTCATCGTGGTCCCGGTGCCGTCCGTGCAAGGGGGCGAGCAACCCCTTGATCGCTCGGTGGGCCCTTTGGGCAGCAAGGCACCTACTGCACCACCTCCTCTCGGTCCACCCTCCATTGCTGATTCAGCGCCCGTGGGACCAGAGGATGGTTCCCTTGAGGACAGGGGCGACACGGCTGCTCTTGAGGAGGAAGGAGAGGTCGCAGTGAATGAGCAGCCGCCAGTGGCCCCTGCGCATGAGCCTTCACTTGCAGCTCCTCCCATCCAGCCCATTCCACAACCCCCACGTCGCTCCAGCAGGCTTAACAAGGGGGTGCCACCCGTACGGTTTCAGCCATCAGCCCTGACGGCCCAGGATACGGACGCGGAGGAGAACCCGTACGACATGGCGTACCTTGCTGAGGACGACTGCGACACGGACAGCGATGACGAAGTGGAGTACCCGGACGAGGATGAGGAGGAGGAAGGCGCTTGGGGAGGTGTCATCCTCGACCTGGCAGCTGCGTTGACCGGACCTGAAGGCAAGCAATTGTGGGCTGCTATGAAGGAGGAGATGGAGAGCCTTGATGAGCAAGGCACTTGGTCGTTGGCCGACCTACCCGAAGGTCGTAAAACAGTTGGCGTCAAGTGGTTACTGAAGAAGAAGCTGCGGCCTGATGGCACCGTGGAGAAATACAAGGCCAGGCTCGTGGCGAAGGGCTTTAGCCAGCGCTTTGGCATCGACTACGACGACACCTACGCTCCTGTTGGTAGCTACACCACCGTTCGCGTGCTCCTCTCAATCGCAGCAGCTATGGACCTGGATTTGCTGCAGCTTGATGTGAAGAATGCATTTCTTCACGGCACCATCGACCACGAGATCTACATGCAGCAGCCGCCCTACTTCACCGACGGTAGCAGCAAGGTGTGCCTCCTGCACAAGAGCCTTTACGGCCTCAAACAGAGTCCCCTTCTGTGGTACAAGGAGCTGGACAAGGTGCTTCTTGTGGAGGGGTACAGGAAGAGCCTCGTGGACCAGGCCCTATACTACAAGGATGGGGCGAGCGGGAAGCGCGTGTGGCTGCTAATCTACGTGGATGACCTGCTAGCGGCAAGTGAAGACAAGCAGCTGCTGCAGGACCTGAAGGAGCTGCTGGCCAAGGCGTTTAAGCTCCGCGAGGTGGAGCCAGTGGAGCGCTACCTGGGGCTGCAGATTGTGCGCGACCGCCCCAACAGGACACTCCTCCTGCACCAGAATGCGTACGTGGCAAAGGTACAGCAGCGCTTCTTCAAGGGGGCGCCACCGAAGAAGCAGCCGATTACTCCTCTCTCCTCCGCCAGCTTTGCCAAGCAGGATGCCGGGCAATTTGCCGACCGAACCATGACCGAATACTTGTCAATTCTCGGCATGGTGCAGTTTGCAGCCATCTCAACCCGTCCTGACCTCTCTTTTGCATGCAGCCGTCTTGCAGCAGGTGCACACCTAAGGACGGACGCGCATTGGCATGAGCTCTTCCGCACACTCTCCTACTGGGCTGCCTCACTAGACACGGGGCTGCTGTTCAAGGGAGGACCAGAGAGCTTGACTCTGGTGGGGTATGCGGATGCGGATGATGCGGGCGACAAGGAGAACCGGTCGTCCACGGGAGGCTACCTCTTCAAGCTTGGCGGAGCGGCCGTTTCTTGGCAGGCCAAGAAGCTGCAGGGTGCGACCAAGCTCTCCTCCACTGAGAGCGAGCTTGTGGCTGCGGTTGAAGCGGGAAAGGAGGGGCGCAAGCTGAGGTTCCTGCTGTGGGAGTTTCAATTGCTCAAGAAAGGTGTTCCCACTACCTTGTACGTCGACAACATGTCAGCGGTGCAGCTCAGCCAGGCGGGCGGGCTGCAGGGGCGCATGAAGCATGTGGACCGTCGCCACATGTGGCTGCAGGACATGGTGCACATGAATAAGTTGGAGCTGCAGCACATCCCTACGACGGCGCAGCCCGCGGACTTCTTCACGAAGCGGCTCGACAAGGCAGCCTTCAACCGATGCTGTGCAGCAGCCGGGCTGGTCCAGCGTGCTCCTGACAGCAAGGGGGCGTGTTAGAAGGAAATGCTGCCATGAGCAACAAATTGCCGGCGCTGGGATTCGAACTCGTGAGCTTCGAATCTGTCCTGAAAGTGTCTCAGGACAGATTCAGGACAGTTTCTGCTAAGGGGCTGGTTATGCTGCACTTGAGTTTCGAACTGGAGACCTTTCGATTCAAGTGTCCCGAAAGTGTCTTGGCAGGACAGATTGGGGATACTTTGGGGACAGATTAGGGACACTTTGGCGAAATCGATCTCGGGTCGCGTTCGGTTTGAAACTCGGCAGCGAAGTGTCGAAGTCAACGGAATTCGCACGGGAGTTACAGTCGGTGGTCGACGGAATTCTGGTCGCGGAAATTCTCGTCTACGGAATTCCAGTCAATGGAATTCGCTCGGCGAAATTCAAGGCTCGGAATTTCGCGTCGACGAAATTCAGCGCGCGAAATGGGTCGACACTTTCTTGTGTGCTTTGTTTTTGTATTGCGTCCTAGTATAAAACCAGAGAGCACAAACCAGAAATCAACTAAGTCATTATCACTGCTATGTTTGTGTGTATCTCTGGCTATAGTGGACCGTTTCCTGCAATCATTGGTGCGTTGGAATCGTGCTTCTGAGCTCTATCAAGCTGCTATAGTAGTGAAATTCTACAAGCTCAGCCTCATCGCCAAACACTGCACGCCACTCGTCACTCAGACGGGCAAAGCAGCGAGCCCGTGTGTGAGAACGCGTCCCGCAAGGCTGACCAGCCCGAATACCTGTGCGAATGACGTACGGGCAGCGTGCAGGACTCGTAGACCCCCCACTCTGAGCGTACCACTCATGAAGCTGCTGGCGCGAAAGGGTCTCGCTCGGCCGTCGCTGCGGCTGCACCAGGCCACCGCTAGAAGCTCCCAACGAACCAGCTGTACCGTCACCGCCACCACTGCTACCGCCACCACACCTCCGAGCATACCACTCATGCAGCTGCGGGGGCGTAAGGGTCGCGCTCGGACACCGCTGCAGCTGCATCTGGCCGCCGCCAGAGACTCCGTGTCGAACAGCTCCACAGCGACTACCACTGCGAACACCACCGCCGCCACCGCTCCCACCGCCGCCCTGAAGAGAAGTCATGCTGCTCCGAGGGCAGGCGCCGGTAAGGCAGAGGCGGCTGCTCCGAGGTCAGGCGAAGGCCGCTCGCGAGCGGCGAGGGCGGCGCGCGGTCGGGCAGAGGCTGCGCGCGGGCGGGCAGAGGCTGCACGCGGGCGGCGAGGGCCTGCGAGGGCGGCGCGCAGTCAAGCAGAGGCTGCGCGCGGGCGGCTAGTGCCTGCAGGGGTGGCACGCGGGCCTGACGGGGCCTGTAGGGGCGACGCGCGGGCCTGATGGGGCCTGCAGGGGCGGCGCGCGGGCCAGACGGGGCCTGCAGGGGTGGCGCGCAGGCCTGACGGGGCCTGCAGGGGCGGCGCGCGGGCCTGACGGGCCTGTAGGGGCGACGCGCGGGCCTGACGGGGCCTGTAGGGGCGACGCGCGGGCCTGACGGGGCCTGTAGGGGCGACGCGTGGGCCTGACAGGGCCTGTAGGGGCAACGCGCGGGCCTGACGGGCCTGCAGGGGCGGCGCGCGGGCCTGACGGGCCTGCAGGGGCGGCGCGCGGGCGTGACGGGGCCTGCAGGGGCAGCGCGCGGGCCTGACGGGCCTGCAGGGGCGACGCACGGGCCTGACGGGCAAGCAGGGGCGGCGCACCGACACTTCCCTGCCGCCGTTCTACATCCTCGTGTACGTCGACGACTTCGTCTTTGCCACTGCTGACACTGAGGCTCCGTCGACTGCTGACCCGTCGCTGTTTCCTGACACTGGCAAAGAACAGGCGGAGAACCCGGTGGCCGCTTCACCCTGAAAATCCACATGCCATCGACGATGTTCGCCCCAGGAGGGGGAACCTCATCGACGTAAGTGCCTGTGGACTTCCAGGATGACATCTCTGCGTAAGAGCGCGGGGTTGGGATGTCTGGTGCATCCGGGTCTCCCTCAGGGGCAAGCAGCATGGCCACGAGATGAGGCGCAGCGGCCGCAAGACACTCAAGGTCCTCCTGTCTGTCCTCAAGGACGTCCGTGCCAAGAGCACACTCACCCCCGACGGACGGAGGACAGACAGACTCAGACTCAGCAACAAGACTAGCGGCGTAGTCGAGACGACAGGCAGCAGCAAAGTCAACAAGACCAGAAACCAAGGCAGACGCAACAGCAGACTCAAACGACGAGTCAGTGACAACAGTGGCTAACAGACGCGTGACAGTAGGGTGTGCAGCACGAAACTGGTCAGACTCAGGGTCCGGAACGTGAGGCAAGGAAGACGCAGGAGGAGACGGCAGAGGAACACGCTGCGGAGCAGAGGAAGGACGCAGAGCCATGAGGTGTGTGCCGGGGACAGCCGGCGGACGCGGACGAGGAACACGACTACCAGTACGACCAGTGCGGACAGTGCGAACAGGCGAGACAGGACGCGACGCAGGCTCACGACGCTCAGCAAGACCTCCAGGATGCTCAGCGTAAGGAGAAGGAGCAGGCAGCGGTGAGCCAGGCTGTAACGGAAGACCAGTAGACGAAGGAAGGCTAAGAACCTGGCGAAGTAGAGTGTCAGGTGGTGGCAGAGATGACGGAGACGGCGGAGCGAAGAACAGGCGCGGTTGTGAAGTGCCACCTGTACCAGCAGCTCAAGTAGCTCCAGCACCTCCAGCAGCTCCAGAACCTCCAGCGCCAGCACCACCAGCAGCAGCACCCCCAGAACCAGCACCTCCAGTCCTAGGGTCTCCAGCCTCAGTGTCTCCAGCAGCAGCACCCCCAGAACCGACACCTCCAGTCCCAGGGTCTCCAGCCTCAGTGTCTCCAGCAGCAGCACCCCCAGACGCAGTACCTCCAGCCCCAGCAGCTCCAGTACCTCCAGTACGAGCACCTCCGGGACCAGCGACTCCAGCATCTTCTGTAGACACAGCACCACTCCCAGCTCCAGCGACGACAGCAGAAACACCTCCAGCGGTAGAGCCCCGAGCTCCAGCAGCGCGACCCTGACGGCGAGTGTACCACTCGTGCAGCTGCTGTGGGGTGAGAGGCACACGCGGACGAAGGCGGCTGCTCCAAGGAGACCGCGCACGGCAGTCTCAGTACCCTCAGGCGCCGCACCCCCAGACTCAGCACTCTCAGGCTCAGCACCCCCGGACGCAGCACCCCCAGGCACAGCACCTCCAGTCTCCTCACGCACAGGCTCAGCACATCCAGGCTTAGCACCTCCAGCAGGCAAAGAACCAGCACCACTCCCAGCTCCAGTGACGTCAGCAGAAGTACCTCCAGCAGTAGAGCCCCGAGCTCCAGCAGCGCGACCCTGACGGCGACCGTACCACTCGTGCAGCTGCTGTGAGGTGAGAGGCGTACGCGGACGAAGGCGGCCACTCCAAGGAGACCGCGCACCAGCAGTCGCAGTACCCTCAGGTGCCGCACCCCCAGGCTCAGCACCTCCAGGCTCCTCACGCTCAGGCACAGCACCCCCAGACTCCGCACCCCTAGGCTCAGCACCTCCAGACTCCTCTCGCTCAG